TTACTGAGTGTAAAAATAGTTTAAAAAAAGAACTTTAAAAACATGTATGAAAATAGAGACAAAAAAGAAAAACAATAAAGAAAAAGGAGAGAGGACGTTGGTGCCTATTTCTAAAATCATAGGGGCAATAGAGCTATTCATCTATATAATTTGAATAGACTTGATCAAAGTGCGGGCCGGGCCGAGACGCTACATTACGAGAATTTTCTAGGCTCGCCGGCCCGGCCCGTATAACGGGCCTAGCTAAGAATTGAAGCCTGAGCTAACAATTGAAGTTCGAACCTAGGCCGCATGGATACCCGCGGGCTTCGGTCCGATCTGATCCACACGACAACAACTTCTAAATAATTAAAAATAATAATTTTTTTAAATAAAGTAATGGGTCAATATGTACTAGATGTTTGATATAATAACAATAATGAGTAAATGAAGGAACAACTAAGACTCCGTATATAAAATGTGTTTTGTTTGATATTGTTTGTAGAGTATGAAGTACTCCCTATTATTTATTGGAATACCATTATCAATATAATGTATGACACATTGTAAAGAATACAAAGTACTACCTCCGTCCCAATTTATAACGCCTGTTTCGGTTTACGATGTTTGACTGAAATTATTTTCAAATCATTTTATATGACAAATGGTATAGAATTAAAAAATAAAAATTACATATTAAAAAACTACATCAAAAGATCTACAAAACTAGTAGTGACAATAATATTTTATTTTATCAAATTGCTAACGAAAATAGAGAAAGAAAGTGAATGAAGTTTGACCCTGTGAATAGTAAACATGCATTATAATTTGGGACGGAGGGAGTAATAAAGATGTATTCATTTTATTAAATACACTTATAGTTCACTTTTTTTTCTCTATAGAAGTATGTATGTGTGTTTATAATAGTTTGAAATAGTATTATTATTATTATTATTAATGTTGTTATTATTATTTTATTATAATTATACTAATAATGAATAGTTTATTCTATTTGGGTCGGACCGATCTGCGGGCTTGAGCATAAACCTCGTGCCCGGCCTAAACATATTTGTGCTGCCATTTATAAGGCCATAGCCCGTCCTGTACCCTAATATAGTCCAAGCCCGCTATTCCATGAGCGGGCTTTGGCGAGCGGGCCAAATACCCGGGCTGGTGATCTTCTCTAGATTTGAAAGGTATTTTAGTCTAGATGAGACATTGACATAGAAATACTAGAACCATGAGTAGGAACGACATAAGTTTTTAAAAGCATGGAAGACATCAATGCACATTTAGCAAACTACATAGGTATTGGACAAATACACTCGAGAAAGGTGAAATCCTAACTATCAACTTAAACTTTTGAGTTAGAAAGTAGATCAAGACTTTATATGTAAGCGATTAATTTTACCTGAAATTCTGTCCATTGTTTTCGAATCTTCAAAATTTTTACTGAAAATCAACTGTACAATGATAAAAAAAATGAGGTGACTAAGGAGTGCGAGAGTAAAATTATAAATAAAAAAGTTATTTTGGACCAGAGTTTTTAGTTAGAGTTGTGCTTATGTGGTCTTAAGATTCACATTTGAAATATAAATTTTCTCCCATTTTTATAAGCATTGAATCTTTTCTGTTTTGTAAAAAGCCTAATTATTTCATGGCATTTATGTACCAAAGTCTTTAAATTTAGTGTGAATAATAGAATCACGTAAGAATTTGCCTTTTAGCTGCATTTAGAAATTAGAATTAAAATCATAAATGGCTAACTTTTTTTAAATATTTAAGTGAATTTTTCCATTAAAATAACATATAGATTTCCGTTAAGGTGAAGAGAGATCTCGTACGGAGAATATGCCTCTTCAAAACTTGGTGGGACGGGCCGCTGATCTTTCTCTTTCTTTCTTTTCTTTTTTCTTTTTTCTTTTTGCGCCACTATTATTGGGATTTGAGCGGACCTAGTTAACAACAGTGACTACTCAAGAAGGGGCAAAGATATTCCCCTGAGTCCGTAAAATATTTAAAATTAAAATAGAACAAATTATCCTAAATAAGAATAAAACGTATATAAAGTACTCCCTCCGTCCACAAATAAACTTTACATTGCGCGTTACGATGTTTGACTGAAGTTATTTTCAAATCATTTTATATGAAAAATGGTGTAGAACATGAAAATAAAAATTACATATTAAAAAACTATATCAAAAGATCTACAGAACTAGAGGTGACATGACTATATTATTTTATCAAATGGGTGACGAAAATAGGTCAACAAAGTGAATAAAGTTTGACCCTGTGAATAGTGAACGTAAAGTTTATTTGTGGACGGAGGGAGTATTTAAATAGAAGTTTTATATATTTATTCTTTAAATAGGGATTCATACTGTGGTAATGTATCACTGTATATTAGCATTTTACTACTCCTTCCGTCTTACAAAATATTTCTTGTTTTGATTTTTATTAAGAGATTTAAGAATGAAGAATGTATTTTGGTATTACTTTTCAAAAATGCCATTAGATGTGATAGGTAAAAATAGATGTAATGAGTAGATTAATAGTGAAAAAGTATGATGTGATAGGTAAGTTAAGAATTGGTAGGGGTAAAAATGACTTTTAAATAGAAATGATAAAAGTTTTTTGGGACGAATGAAAAAAGAAATGAGAAAGGTTTTGTGGGACGGAGGGAGTACATCTTTTGGCAATGTACATGGATTGGTAATGTAAATGAATTTTAACTTTCTATTCAGAAATAAAAACATGAAAAACTCATGTTTTAGTATATTTCCAATGGTTTACTCATAATTTAGTCTTTTTCATTAAAATACTCCCTCTGTTCAACAATAAATTTCCTATTTTGAAAAAAGTGCAAAATTCCATCTTTTTTAAAATTACTTTATTTATAAATTGGTATATCATAAAAAATAAAAACTACATTGTTCAAAACTACATAAAAAATTGTACAAAATAGCATGTCACAAAAATATTTTATATTATCAAATGATTGATGAAATTATGCAAACAAATACTCCCTCCGTCCCTTAAACTCCTTGTCCTTTCTTTTTTCTTATTCCACTAACTCCTTGCCTTATCTACTAAAAACCACTTTTACCCCTTATTTTTTATACTTTACCTATCACATCATACCTTTTTAATAATAATCTATCTATCACATCTTACTTTTACCCATCACATCAAGAGTATTTTTGGAAAGTCAACACCAAAATATCCCTCCCTTAATTTCCCAAAAAGTAAATAAGGAAATGATTTTAAGGGACGGAAGGAGTATAAGCTATCGAGAGCTCGTAATAATAGCTGGAAAGTTTATTGTTAACGGGAAGGATAGGTGCGTATACACTGTTCTTATTTTGTCATATAGTTGATGAAAATATACACTCAAAAAATGTCTAGAAATTTTTAAATAGTGAATTCTAACATTCTTTTTTAGACAAAAGGATTACAAGATTAAATCCAATAAATTATATAATTCGTATAATTCAATCCGAAGTCTCTGATTATTCCTTCTCTAGTTTTTCAACATAAGGGTTAATCAACCTACTTTTCCACTATTCAGAATTTTTAAACTTTGAAAGAAAAAAAAATCAAATGTGGAAACAATTAGGACGGTATAAAGTTTGTAAATTTGTATCCCAGATTATACTCCGTACGTGCTAAAGATTTTTATAAGACCGGAGAGTAATAGTTTGATTTTACTAATTAGTTCAAAATAATGTTTTTAAGAATTAAAATGTTTGCGATTAAAATTTAATTTAAAAAAAAAGAAATATAAGAGTCACAAACTCATGCTTCGTATATTCTTTACTTCACTACTCTCACACACCTAAAAGATTAAATACTGCCGGCTATATATGACTTTTATAGATTTGATGAAATTTTTTAAAATAGGCAGTATAAAAGTATATTTTAGGAATATGTTTAGGCGATGGAGAATTAATTATTCAGGACATCTAAAATGAAAACAAATAAAAAGCATTTTTTAGGATGATGTCTAAATTGCACCGTTGATTCTTTAAGTTATTGCGTAATGCATGACTAGTTCTTTAATTAAAAAATTATACAAATATTTCTTCAAGTCACGTTTGCATAGCGTGATTGGTCCTTCCATTAATTTTGTCTGCACTCCATGCATTGTCATTTTTGCATATGTGAGGAACAATCTTTTTTTCAACAACTAAACCATATTTAATACTCTATCCGTTCACCAAAATCTTCGTCTTTCATTTTTTTCTCTCCCACCAAAACACTTCCATTTTCTATTAAAAAACTACTTGTACCCTTATTTTTTCTTACGCTATTTATTACATCAAATTTTTTTCTAATAATTTATTCATCACATCAAGGACAAAATTGAAAGTAAACTACAATTTATACTTCCTTAATCTGGCCTTTGGTCAAAATGGAAAGGATTTTTCCAAACAGAGTAAGCATATGTGGATTTTAATAATAATAATAATAATAATAATAATAACAAAAAAGGTACTCGATCTTACTTCTATTAGTCCAATTATTTTAATAATAAAAAGTTACTCTTTCTTTTATTAGTCCAATTTTTTTTAAAATGCATTATCCATTTTAAAGAGTTAATTAAAGTGTTTATCATATGGACTAATTATAGTGAATGAGGGTTAATTATTTTTTTGACCTATAATTTTCAATTAAAATGGATACGTGACATATGACTCAATTGTATTAAAAAAAGAGAACTGGTAGCTAACATGTACTTCCGGTTTTGACTTTGGAGAAAAATAAGGAAAGTTTAATTTTGGTTGTTCAATTTTGTCCCTGATGTGATGAGAAAAAGTAAGATGTGATAGTTTGGTTATTAGTGAAAAAGTATGATGTGATAGATAGAGTATGAAAAAGTAGGGGTAAAAGTGGTTTTTTAATAGAAATTGGAAGTGTTTTGTGGAAAACAAAAAAAACGAAAGAGGAAGAGTTTTGTGAGTATTTATAAGAAATATTGGAAATTTGTTTTATAAATAGAAATACTCAGCTCGTATCAACAACTTCACACTATAAATAGCTTAGCTTGAAGTAGTGGTAATTAATTAATCAAAGCCACCACTCCATTTTTAGGCCGCACCGTAGCGTAGCAATGATGGGAGAACCGAGTGGAGACGACCCGCCGTTCATGGAGAAATACAAGAACCTCTTGGACGACCAAGAGGCGATGGTGGGCCAGGCGGCGGCGGAGGAGGAGCGGGAGCTGCCGCTGATCGACCTCGGCGAGCTGGACAGCGCGGAGGAGGCGGCCAGGGAGGAGTGCAAGAGGAAGATAGCGGGGGCTTCCCGGGAGTGGGGCTTCTTCCAGGCGTTCAACCACGGGATCTCGCCGGAGATTCTGGGCGAAATGACGGCGGAGCAGGTGAAGCTCTTCCGCAAGCCCTTCAGCCAGAGGACGAAGGACGTGGAGTTCAACTTCTCCGCCGGCAGTTACCGGTGGGGGACTCCTTCCGCCACCAACATCCGGCAGCTCTCCTGGTCTGAGGCTTTTCACGTCCAGCTGAGCGATGTCTCCGCCCCCACCGCTTGCCCAACCCATCTTAGGTGAGTATATTTATAGTTATGCAGTAATAGTTATAATTTTCAATAATTATTTGATAAACCAACACTTATGATAATTACTTCTTAAATTACTTCGTTTTAAAAAAACAAATTCGATGTATTTTTGTATACTAACTATTGAATACAAAATTACGTATAGTAAAACACTAATAAATTTAATACATACTCCCTTCGTCCTAAAATTAATTTCTTAGTTTGACTTTCTTGGTTAAATTTTTTAAATTTCGACCGTGTATTATGAAAAAATACATTAAATTTTAATATAAATTTAATATTAATAAATTAATTTTGAAACATAATTTTAAAATATTTTATTTTTAGGACACAGGAAGTATTTTATTTCACCTCCTAATTTCCCAATAACTCTTATTTATGGAGGGAGTGAGGGAGCATATCCCATATAAATTTTAGTTTCTACAATAAATTAATAATAAAACAACTAAGTTGTAATTTCAATTTAACCTTTTAAAACTGCTTAACGGAAATCTTGATATCGTTACCTAAAAGCATTTGTTGCAAATAAACAATGTTGTCATACACCAATAGATCATGTTTTGTAAGACTATTAGTAGCACTCTACGACTATTCAGTCCAAATTAGCAGCTACTTAGTACCAAATTAGATCATATCATATCTCTATAGTAGTGCCCCACATCTACTGTAATGATATATTTTTATTTTTTATTTAATATTTACCTATTTTTGTTCAAATTAAATTCCATATTTTATAAAAAAATAAAAAAACTATTTTATTATGTTTTCTCTTTAATTTTTTTCTTTTTTGGCTTTATTATTTTTTCATTCGGGATTTTAAATTTTTTCCCCTTTTTTTCTTTTTTTAAATATTATAACAGTTAAATTAAAAATGAATAAACTATATTTTTTGAAAGGAGCATAAACTATACTCCGTATTAATTACAAAAAACTACACAATTGCATTGCTTAAACTAAGAAAAAAATACATGATAAGAAAAAAGGAAAAACGATGATGATATAATTTAATATTAAAATGTGCTTCATTCATAATAATAAAATATACATCGTTTTAATTCAAAAATGTATGGACGACGAAAAATTTACGTGGGACATAACGTTAAAATTATATATGCAATATTAGTGTTAATAGATAGATCTTGTGAAAACATTTTCAATAATACTCCCACCGTCCCTTAAAGATTGGGACGGTTTGACTAAAGTGGTAAAATAAGGATGGATAATTTTGTGTTGACCTTCCAAAAATACCCTTGATGTGATGAGTAAAAGTGAGATGTGGTGGGTAGATTTTTAGAAAAAGGTATGATGTGATAGATAGGGTATGAAAAAGTAAAGGGTAAAAGTGGTTTTTTAATAGAAATGGGACGAACTTTAAGGGACGCAAATTTTTCGAAACGAGACTAACTTTATGGGACGGAGGGAGTATATTATTTGTCAAGTTTTGACTTGCGTACAAAAATTATAAACAAAATAGTCATTGTATAGTATTCATTCGTGATTACCGCGTACATGGCACTGTCACGACGGATGAGGAACACCCCTCCGTGAGGCATTACAAATAGTCTTATACTCGATTGTAGGCTCAGAGAAACCCTAAGTTTTTAAAAATAATGTTAGTTCTCTAATTCTTATACAGTAGAGTTCAATACAAATGTTAAAACTTGACCACATTAATAGGTTTGCATAAAATTTGATTATCACAAATATTTGATTTTATTAAAATTTGTGTTCAATCACATACGGAGTATGTAGCAAACTTTTTTTTTCTTTTTTTGAAACGGAGGACGTAGTCCTTGCAAATCTTTCATTGTCACGATTAACAATGTGATTATTCTTCGCACATCCCACGAACCATATAGGCGTACAAATACAAAACTATAATGATTACAGCTTTAATAATGAACTTACTTAATGGAAACATTTAACTAATGACAGCTAAAAAGTAAAGGCAAAATTAAAGTTGCTATACCTTTCTCCCTTAAAAATTGCATTCTTAGCTTAGAATTACGTTAAAAACTTATTGTCTTTTAAATTTATTTAATTTTCAAATTGATACTATCAAATGATCAATCAATATAGACAACATGCAACAAACAACAATTATCGAGATGCCGTAACAGTAAAGGAAACATATCATTTCGGGTTAAAGAGAATACATTTATATGTAAATAATAGAGATATTAATAATTAAAGTGTTGTATTATAGATTGTAATAAAAAGAAAATTTTTGAACAAAGGGAATACCTTAAAATGGACCGAATGCTATATTATGACTTTAGTAATTAATGTTAAAATAATGAGAGGGTTACACAAGTTGTTAGTGGGTGTGATTAGAGTTTATTTAACCGGTTCAATATTCTTATGCTTGTTGCCTGGTTATTAGTTTAGAGTAGTAGTGACTTATTAGTACACGCATTTAATTAAAAAATCAGTTTACTTTTCTCTATATTCTTACAATGTACTCCCTCCGTTCCACAAAATCCTTCCGGTTTTGACTTTGGGGAAAAATAAGGAAAGTGTAATTTTGGTTGACTTTCCAATTTTGCCCCTGATGTGATAGGAAAAAGTAAGATGTGATAGTTTAGTTATTAGTGAAAAAGTATGATGTGATAGGTAGGGTATGAAAAAGTAGGGGTAAAAGTAGTTTTTTAATAGAAAGTGGATGTGTTTTGTGGAAAGCAAAAAAAACGAAAGAGGAAGAGTTTTGTGGAACGGGGGGAGTATTAGAGTCAAATTACTTTGAGCACATGAAACCCCAATCATATCCCCACCAAACAAAATTAGCCCCAAAATAAACCAACAAATAATATAGTGACTGTAAGGAGTTAAAGTTACGTTGTTGAGTTTTTTATGTCTCCTCTAAAATGGACCGAACGCTATATTATATTCTTAATAAACTTAATATTTTCCCCTAAATTTTTTAAATTATACCAATAGTCCCTATACTTTTATTAAAATGCATGCTTTATCCATATTTGTTTAAAATATGCATATTTTCCTCTTAAACTTTTAAAAGTGTACCATTATATTAGTTCGGGACGGTTCCCGTGACATTTTCCGGCAGTGCCATGGGATGACTCGGGGGCGGTCCGGTGCCCTGTTCGTAAAATTGATAGTTTCTACCCCCAACCCCTTGTCTGTAAAAGCCCGCGTGTAAAATAATGAACTTGAACTTGATATTTTAGGGTACGGCTTGGGCTTTATAAATGGAAGCCTTCATATATACTTTAAGGCCGGGCTCGAGTTGTCTGTTGAAGCCCGGCCCGACCTGAATGAATAATAATAATAATAATTATAATAATGATAATAATAATAATCATAATCATAATCATAAATTAACAATAACAATAGTAATAATCAAAATAATAATAACAATACTATTTATTATACAGAATACTATTATAAACACACACATTTGAATGCAGGAAAAAGAGAGCTATTTATAAATATATTTAATCAAATGAATATATTATTATCATTATTTATCATATTCTAATAATAATTTTCAAATATACAATAAAACATTATCAACAAAATACATTATATTGTACATATTAGTTAATTTTTTGACAATATATCCATCGAAGTTATTATATCAAATATGGAGTATGAAATATCTAATACTTTGTATAATAATGCATTACTTTATTTTTATTTTTTAACTATGTAAAAACTATTAACCATGCGGGTACTTATGCTAGTTGGGCTCGGGCTTCAGTTGCTAAGGCCGCACTTGGACTTAGAAAATTTTTGTTATGTATGTAGTGTCTCGGTCTCGCCCAAAACTTATCCTAGTCTGGCTCGCATTTTGATCAGGTCTACTCCGATCCGTAGTAAACAAAAAATGGAGGAATCTCATTCATGAGGGTCACTTGGAACTGGCCGGGTAATTGCTTGTTAAGACGAAATAAATTAATTTTTAATCACAGTTTGATAGTAAAGAGTGAAATCTAATCATAATATTTAATTGCATAGACCAATGCTAAACCTAGTTGGTTACATACTCTGTAGTAAACGAAAAGATGTGTGCAAATTGGACAAAGATTCTGAAAAGTACAATTTGGGGAGGTATCATATGAGCTGGCCATGCGAATTGAATTAAGTGTGGGGAAATGAGGATAGGATAGGCCTAATGAATTAGTCAGTACAGTACTATGCCTGCAGCTATCTACTGAGCCATGCCACACCACGTTAGGCCAAAGCTCCCTCCCTCGCTAGGCCACCCTTCTTAAAGGCCTCGAAAGGAAACAACACCCTTCCTTACCCCATTACTATACTAGTTCAACTGGTTTAAGAAAAAGATTGATCTTGAGCCCTGAAATCGAATCCCAGCCGTAGCAATATGGAGTTTTATTATTTGTAATATATAGCTCTTTGTGTGCTTCGGACACGGGGCAATCTCTCTAAGAATTAGATTAATATTATATCATAATTTATTCCCCTCACTATCCTGTCGAGCTGGGATATAGGGGCGCCCAGGGTGGGCGTTCCACTTTTTTGGAAATGAAACAACGCTGCATAGCAACGTCAGAGAATTATCAGTATATGAGGAACGTGAAAAAACATGAAAGATTATCGAAGCGTGTGAAATATGTTTTTTGACTACAATAATTTATTTCAAGGTATACCAAAATGATTCAATGGGCAAGTATCTAGAACGAGTATAAAAATTGTCTCTTTCAAACATACTTTAGAGTCCATATATATAGATTAAGCAAAATCCAAACAGACATGTTTGTTAAGCGAAACAACACAACATATCGAGTAACATTCAAATATTTAGGCTAAAACATTACTGTACTCTGTTAGCAACAGCTATAAATTCTGCAGTTTCATACGTCAATCAAACACCAATTTCGAGCGCCCCCAGCCCCCGACCTGACAAGATAGTGAGGAGAGTATAGTAAATCACGGTATAATCTTAGTCTGGTTCGTATAAATGTATACTCGGTGCACACAAAAAACTATTATCATCAAGAATAGAACTCCCACACTGCCAGTATTGGAATTCGATTATATAATAAAACGATCTTGAGCAAGACACTTCACATTGGACAAACTAAGCTATCCATACAGCCACCAAAAGTGGTATAAATAATTGGAGAGTAAGGTACACATGAAAATGGGAGTATTGGAGATGTGTCTTTGTGAAAAAAAGTACTAAGATAAAAGGATGTGTCATAATGTGTGCGTACTTGTTGTAATGATACCATGAAAGTGCTGTGTTCTAGTGGTCTAGTTAGTGGAAGCGGCGGATTTTTAATTTTTAAAGAAGACCTTTTATTAAAAAGAAGTTTCCCTCAGACTTGACCGGATGGTCACTATGAGAAAATAAATTGACCTTTGATCGCAGATTAGTGGTAACATTTAGAACCTGCACATGATATTTGTAGAGCCTTATGCTTTGCATAGTTGTCAGGAATCGAATTCGAATCTTAAATAACGTTTTATTAACAGTAAGCAAGAGGGTTCGATTCATCCCCACGCAGTTAGTCCCTAGATAATACTACGTATGTGTGTGGATTTGGGCAATTGATTATACTTCCTTATGTGCTGCTTCATTGCGTCACTCCAAAAGTTGAAACACGTATACCTTAGATAGGGGTGGCAAAAATGATTACACCATTTTTGTTCAATGAATTTGAGAGAGAGAAGAAAAAAAATGGGATGAAAAATAATTTTTCATTAGAGAGGAAAAAAAGAAAAGTAAAAGGAAAAGCAAATGAGAATATAAAATGTAGTAAGAAGAGAGAAAATCAAATTTCATCCATTTTGATGAGAAAAATGAAAGGAAACGTAACCATTTTATTTTCTTCTCTCCAAATTTCTTGAACCAAACGTAGTGCTAATATATTACCAGCCTGACATTGTCTTTATGGTATAAATATTTTTTATTTAAAAAAGTTATTTTTCGTGTAACTTCTTGTTTTTTAATCTGGCAATATTCAAAGTAAGATTTGAAAGTAGAATTAGTTAATGGTTTCTATTGGTTTTTTTTTGAAGTTATTGTTCAAGCTGATTTTTATTTTATATTTATTATTATACTAGGGAAAGAAAACTACTTTCTCATAAATTAATTGAAAAAAAAAGCTTTAAAAAGGTATGAAATTTAAAATAAATCTTTTTTTGCTTCACGAATTTTTAATTTTAAAATTAAGTTTTGATTGATGGGATTTTCTTCCCGATAATCTACCTGCTAATATTATTTCTTCTAAAATGTCACACAAATCATGTGATCCTTTTTCTCTTTAAAAAGAGACCCATATCTAACAATAGGTCAAGAGGGTACGGTTATATATCTAGAACTCTAGAAGCATAATTTCAAAAATTAAAACCTTTGAAAAATTATCTTAAATAATCTCACATGTCATTTATTTGTACAAAACTAACATTTTTTGTAGAAATTTGTTAAGTTACCAATCTTACCATTAGTTGCTTAACGGCGATAAAAACTTACACACATGTGAAAAGGTGAAATTATTACACGTGACAATGAAAAGTAAGTTATTTTTAGAAGAACGTGAAAAAGTAGAATTATTTCAAATAATTTTTATCAAAAATATATGAAATATTTTTTCTCTTTTAAAGAAAGAAAACAAAATTCAAAAGAACTAGAGAGTAAAAGTTCAAAATTATTTAGTACTTTTTTTTTTCTCGAACAAAAAATAACGTAGGCTTAAGAAAATATAGAATGAATAAAGGATAAGAATAAGTCAAATTATCTAAAACACACGGAGTACTACACAATTGAGATATTAATACCCCTAAATTTAATTATTCCGTATAGTATAGTTCACATGTCAAAATAATAGTGGAAGGACATTCATGCCCTCTCAAATAGAGAGGTATGGGAGAAAATCCCTTGATTGATATTGTAAATCTGAAAGTAAGTTTTACAAATAGTTTTCGATGGATTTTAGCCCAACAACTAGAGATGCACGAAGAGCCTTAATAGAAAAAATATATAACTCTCAAAATGTGATCTCAATATTATTTGCATTAGCTCAATTTGGCTTGAGTCTACGGATGAATTAATTTTTACGCACTATTTAGAATTTACACACTACACTATTCTTGGTAATCTATCATCTTCCCAGCCCAACTCTCAAGCAAATTACTACTCCTTCCGTTCCACAAAACCCTTCCGGTTTTGACTTTGGGAGAAAATAAGGAAAGTGTAATTTTGGTTGACTTTCCAATTTTGCCCCTGATGTGATGGGAAAAAGTAAGATGTGATAGTTTGGTTATTAGTGAAAAAGTATGATGTGATAGGTAGGGTATGAAAAAGTAGGGGTAAACGTGGTTTTTTAATAGAAAGTGGAAGTGTTTAGTGGAAAGCAAAAAAAACGAGAGAGGAATAGTTTCGTGGAAAAACAAACTATTACGCCGGTTCAAATTATAATCCGAATCATTTTTAAAATGCTACGGGTTGTGCTCCCAAAAAATAAAAACCAAATGTACCGATTTGTTACCCCTAAAGTGTTGACTTTATGAATAAAATAATTTTTTTAGTAAGTTTGGGTCATATTTATTTGCTCTGACTTTAACATATTTAAACTTATGTTTTTATAGTACTTTACTACCGTGGGGTACAACTTAAATTATGATTTTATCTGTTGAAAATTCAAACTATAATTATATTTTGTCAAAAATTGTACTCCGTGTGTTTTAATTACGTCGGTTATTTTTTATGAATAAAAATTTTTCAAAACGCCAAAATATTGTAGTATGGTTTGACATTAGTGTGACATGGTAGCATCCCGTTTCCGGACGGAATCAGTGAGAGAGAGAAGATGAATTCCCCGGTTGTTTAATTAAAAATTTAGTCGAGACAGAACTTTAAACTTTAGCTCCAAATCACTGTCCTCTCCAAATTAAATCGTCTCCCATCATTATGTCCTTTGTCTTCCCTCGTCCTTCTAGTTAGCCATCGTCTTCTTCTTTTCTCCAACCATCCTCTCCATCTCCGTCTCTAGTCGAGACCCTAGTAGGTCTCCACGTGTTCTGTGTCTCCATCCCCGTAACCAAACAAGGGGAGGGACTCCTCTCCATTCCTTTCCATTCTCTTCCATCTATTCTCCATCCACCCAACCATAGAACCCTATTCCCAAAGGCCCAAACCAAGGAAGTAATACACGAGTAGAACTTAATATGATTGAGAAATCACCTTAACTAGGAGCAGAACATAGAGAAAGTACCAAAATAAGAGTTTTACGTTGTGATTCCTCAAAAAGAAGTTCACACCGTGGTAATGTGACACTGTACATGTATATTTTACTATATTATTCAGTAATGTACATGGTTAAGATCGGTAATGTAAATGTATTATAACTCCTATTTCGAAAATAAAAATATAAAATTTCTATTTTGATATATTTTTAATGTTTTATTCCTACTTTAGTCTTTTTTCCCATATGATTTGATAGTGTTTACTAATTGTATCAAACACATTTTCAAGTAAAATAAATTTCGACAATATTCCAAAACTCTCTAATTGTAAGTGTTTTATAATGAGCATGTATGTGATGTTCTATGTCTAGAACATGTCACTAAGCATCCATATTTAATTTATAACTTTGGTTAACCTAATGTTTACTTAATGACCTGACCATTACAAAAATAACATTAATTTCAGCTCAACAATGACGAAATTCGCAGAAGGGACGAGAGAGTTAGCAGAGAAATTGTGCAAAATTTTGGGTGAAGAATTGGGAGAGAAGTCAAACTACTTTGAACAAAAGTGTTGGTCAAAGAGTAGCTATGTGAGAATGAACCGGTACCCGCCATGCGGCCCAAATCACGTGTTTGGGCTAATGCCTCACACCGACACTGATTTCCTCACCATATTACACCAGGATCAAATTGGTGGGCTGCATCTGGTCAAAGATGACAAATGGATCTCTGTTAAGCCCAAACCAAATACACTCGTCATTAACATCGGAGATATCTTTCAGGTATCTATGTATGGTATCTGTACACTATCTATATCACGTTGCACATTTGAACACTATTTCAAAAATGGAAAAAAGGTATGACGATGATATTATTTTTTAATTATGATTCATATATTCTACACATCATATTTGATTAAAGTATAAAGTAAGAATTTTTGGAGTGCACCTTTTTTTTCTTTTTGAAAAGTTTTATGCGACGAAGGTAGTATTTTATTTTTTAATTTTCACATAATAGAAACGTTCTTAGTAGCAAACTAAATAGTTTAATTTGAACAATGAAATGGGCACTATGTAATTATTTAGGCTCCAAAATCAAAATCAACTTGTGGGGTGCAATTGAAGTGGGTGGGGGGTGTGTTCGGGTCGGGGCCGGGTGGGGGGNCCTACTTACCTAGTTCATGGAGAAACAAAAAAACTGATTTAAAAATAAATAGCTAAGATCTACTTACTTTTTATGGCCTATAAGCAGCTTATAAGCATACATAAACATGTCCTCAGCTGATTTATAAGTTAAAAACTACTTAAAAGTAATTTAACCAATTTATAAGCACATAGAAACAACCACTCTATAAACTCCCTCAAATAATTTTTTTATTTCTAAGACTTCAGGAAAGTCAAACCAATATAACTTCTTCGAGAGATGGGAGTACATAGAATGTCAATTAGGAGGAGTAAGAGTGTACTAGTAGTTTTGTATAAATATATTTTTCTAGCATATTGAAGAACAAAAAGTGAGAGATGGGAGTATCATAGAATGTCAATTAGGAGGAGTAAGAGTGTAGTAATAGTTTTGTATAAATATATTTTTCTAGCATATTGAAGAACAAAAAGTCAACGATGCCCCTATTGGGATCAATTCAGACTTGTGACTCTTCATTTTCATTTGACACGGTCACAATAATGTTGTTGGACAATAGAGTCTTTGCTTGAGAGTTTGAATTTAATTCTTTTGACAAATTCTATTGCTTGAAAAAACACTACGCCGCATAATCTGCTTCTAGTTTTAGGAAAAGTACCTAGTGAGTACCTTTCCAAGTTTATTCTACCACATATTTTAATTTTTACAATTGGTATCTAATTAATTAATTAAATCTAAACACAATCAAACTCTTTCTTATTACAATTAGTAAGATACAATTAGTCTTTGACATACTAGGGAGTATTGAAATTTGAACACATAATTATATCTAGATTAATAAGATTGTGTATGTGTAGGCATGGAGCAATGGGATTTACAAAAGTGTTGAGCACCGAGTTATTCCCAACCAAACCAAAGAGAGATTCTCCACGGCTTTCTTCTTTTGTCCATCGGACGATACGTTAATCAACGGTTATTCTCAGCCTTCTATTTATAAACCATTTACATTTGGAGAATACAAACGGCAAGTGCAAGAGGACGTCAAGAACTTGGGCCAAAAACTTGGCCTTCTTAGGTTTCTCATTTCCCCTCCCTAAATTACTTGTACTCTGTGTTTTAAATTTCATCATCAACGTTGTTGTTGCTATCCATAACATACCAATTATGTAAGTTTGTCAAATATTTCTTAACATTTTGTGTGTCTAATTTCTTTCTTTTTGTTTTTTGTCTCATTCCAATCTATTGTGCATGTTTACATAATGAGGTCGGTTTTGTTGACAGCGATTCCTGTTGACACTACGGTGCCAATATCTTTTTGGCGGATTTACCTTGTTTCGCTCAATAAATAGATGAAACCTACCCCATAATCTCCCAATAAATCTCCCACCACAGCCCGACTCGAACCCACTGCACCCTGGCACCCCTTCAATTTGCACCCTCGAAATTGTTAGAGATTTTAGTGTTATCAATTATTTTGTATTATTGGATTTATTTCGAATGAATGAAAATTTTAATAGACGTTGTTAACGAGTTTGAAGGTGCAAAATACACGTTCTTTCTACAGTAATAGAAATTCGGGGCAACAACCCCTAGCAAGTCAGCTTGGGAAAATACTTATTTTGGACATAGTTGCTTTTTGAAAGTTCTTTCTATTTTCATAAACGGAGTTCAAAGTAATGTACATTTGAACGTATAAAACAAGACATTCAAATGTAAAGTTTATATCCAGCTCCTTTACAAAAAGGCACTTAACATCAGAATGTTTAGTACTCTCACCGTCCCAAAAAAATGTTAAGGCTTAATTTCTCTCTTTGTGTATCATATAAAACACTTTTATCTACATTTATAATGTCCAAAATTCACCTTATTTCTCCTTACTTTGAGTAGAAGTTATTTTGAGGATATTTTAAACATTTGAGGTGGGGTAAAAATGTTTTGTGAGATGCACAAAAAATGAAAGAAAAACATCTTTTGGAAACCAAGTGAGTACTAAATATTCAAATGTATCACGAAATGATGTAACAAGTTTGCACAAAACAACAGAAATATATAGTTGTTTGTATGATAACCGCTATATACATTCGAATGTTTGGCTACAAATATGCAAATGTTACTCCGAAAATTATGTTGTTTCATCAACCACCATGTCCATTCAAAATCTTCCCTATAAATAAATGGAGAGGGAATGTTTTGATTACACAAAACTTTCATACTCGTTCTAGTTTGATTACTTACGTATTATCCGTTTAAAACATTTTGGAATAACTTAAAATAACTTTCATCTCAAAACATCTTCTACAAAATTTCTTAATCTTATTAAGTTCATCTTCACATTCTTCGTATATCAATTCTTCTAATGATACTACACAATGTTACTTTAATATTTTATAATTATGTCTATTTGAAATTATATTAATTTAATTTCATAGTTACTTTATTGAATATTACGTTTACGGGTAATTTTATTAAGCATACAAAATAGTCCATTTATAATCAATTGTTTGCGTCATTAACCCCCTGGAATTTTCAAACCTTGCGCAGAATTCCCTGAACATAAAAATTGTACCAATGCCCTATGAACTTTTAAAAAATGTTGCACCAATGGTCGCTCTACGTTAGATTTGGGAGTGCGTTAATCACACGCTCATCCAGTGTAATTAGTATGAATTATATTCATCTAGTCATATATCATATATGAGTTCTTCAATATTCTTCCCAAACCTTATCTTCTAAATTTTAATGTCTTTAAGCCATAGATAAATATTCCCGATTTAGTTATTGGTAAACAAATTTGAAAGTCGGACAGTAGTTGATAAAGCTCATCATCAGTCGATAAACCTATTCATCAATCCATGGTATTTTCATCAAGTTCTAACAAGTATATTGATGAGCATGCGATTAGTGCACTTCCAAATTTGGAATGGATGGACCATTGGTACAACATTCTTAAAAGTATAGGGGCATTGGTGCAAATTTTAATGTTTAGGAGGAATCCGTACAATTTTTAAAAAGTTTATAGATAAAAAATGCAAACAAATCATTTATAATCACACTTTATAAAATGTTTTATTTAAAATTGATGGAAAATAATATGTGGCTGGGTCCATATTTCCAATTATTTACGAAAAATAACCAAATCAGACTTATTTAGTAAAATGGAGGAATAATATAATATTCCCTGAAGATGCCCTTACTTCACCAATAAAAGGAGCAAAAAGAAGAGGATGCCTTTCTCCTTCCTCTCCCCTGTCATATACTCTCTCTCTCTCTCTCTAGATAGGATGTAGGTTTTCAACCATGGGATGTTGTCGACTATCAAATCAATTATACATTCATGTGGGGTTTGTTGGAATTTTTGGCTTTTTAATTGGCATTATATGTACCATCTTTGGACATAATTATTAATAGGTCCACTAACGGTTTTAACCATTTATTAATGGACGTGTGTTCTCTTAGAAAAAAAGATAAATAAACATTTGATATATTATAAGCCAAAAACGGTAGAAGGGTGAATGAGAAATTGAATCTCAAAATTGACCAGGTAAAATAAAAGGGTATGGTTGATGCATGTACATGCATATTTTTATTGAACCAATCTTCTCTTATTTTTACACAATGTTTAAAATTAGTCCATTTTTACGGAGTTAACTGGCCATTAATCTTCAATTATTGGGACAAATTTTAAACGGAGCAAAGTGTAACAGACATGTTAATGGGTATCATTAACACACCACTTATGACCATCATTATGGTGTAGGTTACACCTTTGAAATTCTCTAGCCTAAAAGAGAACAAGTGCTTCATGATGATTACTTTGGTGTGCCATACGTGAGAAGAAGAAGAGAAGAAAAAAAATCCTTCTTCATTTTTTAAAGAGAGAGCTCTTGTTTTTCATCCAAACTTTCGGAGATTCCCTTCAAGGTTTTTTGGTCGTCAACGTTTCTACTTTGTTCTTGTTTGTTGGTGTGTGGTTGGTCCGTATAATCACCACACACGATAGTGATTTTATCTTGGGAGGGAAGTGCCCACGTTTTTTCAGTATGGTAGGCGGACACTACTACCTTAAGGACAATTCTGGCGACTCGCTGCCCTTCTACGATGTTTGTTTTTTGTAGATTTCGTTTACAAGTTCCACATTCCAGTTCGCTGCTTTAATCCTGTGCACAAAATCTTCATTGTCGAGCAAGGCCTTTAAAGATTGAAAGATATATTTTTATTTATTGTAATTAAATTCGAATAAATTATAAATTTGGATTTATTTTATTTTATTTTATTCCGGGGCCATTCTTTCCCGTCTGTTGTAATTCGTACGTAGTTTGTAATATGTCTCGGTGCTTGTTTTAAGCCATATAAGCTTTTCCTTAATATGAAAACATAATCCCCTTTTCCTTTTATTTCGAAACCTTATGGGTGCTCCATATAAATTTCTTTACTAAGATTTCCATGTGGGAACGCAGTCTTCACGTCCATAACTTCATCAAAGCAACCGTATTCCCCCGTCAATCAGTGAAACCCCCACTTATTAGCTGCATATCTAGTAGAAGGCTCCACTTCCCTACTAGATCTTCTTGAGGGTACCGGAGACTCTCCAAGAATAGGTGACTGAGCATGACCACCATCAACATCCTCTTATGGTTCATCTTCATGGGGAACACCTCCATCATGTATGTCTTGCAGATGGTCATCATGAACTTCATCTTAATCGAAGTTGGTACTTTTGTGAGAACTTCATCAATTATCTAACATGCCTCATGGGTTAATTGATACACAATTTCATCATCACGGTTGACGTTGAAATCTTCAACAAGATTCTCGCCTTCATCATCACTGCTCAGCTCTCCTTTCTTGCCTTGGTTCAGCTTCCAACAATATCGCTTGAGGTGACCTTTCTTCTTTCAGTAATGACACTCGACGTAATTGGCATACTTGTTTGATTTGCCTCTGCTTTTGTTTCTAAAACTGGAAGCATTAAACTGACTTCTCTATTTCTTTTTAGCTATCAGAACATTGATTGTGAGGGAGAGGTTGAACATTGAGACCTCCATCTCTTCTCTTCATTTAAGATACTACTCTTAACAGCTTCCATACTCAGCTTCCATACTCAGTATAGCATTAAACCACCTTCAGAGTTTCCCACGACAGTATAGTGTAGTTAATATTAAAAGAGCAAGTACCTCATTTTCAAACAAGATGCCTATCTTTGACAGCTGATCCATGATTCCTTCTATGGTGTTCAGGTGATCAGCTACATACAGAAGTGTTTTCTTCATATTTTTCTTGCATCAATTGTGTCAAGTAAAAAAGCTTGTTAGGGTTGTTGTCGGTCTTTGAAGCGTACAACTACTCTAACTTGTTCCACAGATTTCTAGCATGAGTAGTTTTGTTACACCTATGATTGTAAACGTTATCATCGATGAATTATCGAATATAATCACAAACTCGTTCATGCTCGAACCCCCAATCTTCTCCAGACATCTCATCAGGTTTGACAGTAGCAAATATCGGTAAGTGCATCTTGGTGAACATGAGAAGATCCTTCATCTTGCTCCTCGAGATACGGTAGTTCAAACTATTTTGATCATTTTACTCGTCTTCACCTCCATTGCCCCAAGGTCACACCTGGATCCGATTGCCCAAGATTGAACCAGGCTCTGATTCCCCACTATTCGACCTAGCTCCGATCAGATTCCCCAAGATTGGCTTTGGCTCCAATCAAATTGACCAAGATTGGATCTAGCTCGGATACCACTTGTTGGGTCCCAATATCAATTGTTGAGCTCTGATACTACTTGTTGGCCTCGATAATAGTTGTTGAGCTCTGATACAACTTGTTGGGGTCGCACAACGGAGTATAATATAATTAGAAGGTACAAATAGAGAACAAAGTAAGACACTAAAGATTTGACGTGATTCACCCAAAACGTTTGGGCTAGGTCCATAAAACAAACACTTCTATTTTTTCTTCCACTATTACAAATACTAGGCACACACTTTTCACTTATTTTATCCAAGTCCACAACATAACTGGCCTGGTATTGGCCGGGCCAACAGTTTTGAGGGGCCCTTCATCCTTTGTTGTAAAAGATGAGTGTGTAGCTCTCCAATAAGGCATGCATGCCGCAGGCGCATCATGTGTGGTTTCAACTTATGTCAATACATAATTAGCCACCTTATTTAATTAGTTAATTATATGCTAATATATTGGAGTAGTGATTATAGTAGTGTCATTGAAGATTCCCTGCAGTACGTACCCTTGCAAATGCATTGCATGTTCACAGTGTCTTCCATTATATTCTCAACAAAAGGTAGCCTGAGATATTACTAATAAGCTAGTGGTGTCTGCCAATAGCACCTTCTTCCGATCCTCTCATGCATATATATATATATATATATATATATATATATATATATATATATATGCTCCATCAAATTTGCATTATTTCTTGGTTGCTTTTGCAAGTGTGCTTTTGAACGTGGTAAATTTGTTATGATGGAATATTTTCAGTTCCATAAAACTTTTCAAATATGAGAAAAGACACACTTTAAAAATATAAAATTTTGATATTATTTTTTAAATTTTGTTCTTACATTAATTTATAATAAGGTATGATATGATATGGGGTAGATAAGTTATAATTAAAGAAATAATATTAAAATTACACATTTTCAAAGCGTGTCTTTCGTTCGTTTTTGAAAAGTTTTATGAGACAGAGGAAGCATTATACATTTATTCTCTCCCATTTTCCAATGTAGGACTTAAATTTTTTTATTCCCTAAATGAGACTTAATAATGACTAGTGAGAAAAATAATATCCAAGTGGTGTTGGACATTTAGTTGAATAATGACTAATAGATAATGATCAATGATCCTACATTGGGAAATAAAAACATATGATCCTATATTGAGAAAGTCATTATGTTTTAGTCTTATTTAAGTGAATTACTCCTTTTATTTCTTATAGAGGTATATTCTTATACTTGTAAAACCTTTTAACTTTCTAATAAAACAATTCTTTTCGATTTTTAATCCTACATAATTCCAAATTTATCATGCATATTTATTCACTATTAATCTACATGTTACATTCAAAGCAAAAATTGGAAAGTCAAATACAAAATACACTCTTTTTAATTTATTCAAATAATTTTTGTTTTCTTTTTACTTGTGAGGTAGAAATTCATAAAACTCGATCAAAACTTGTGTATGTAAAAAGTGTACTCTCCTACCTTAAAAATTGTTTTGATTTGACGTTCACAGAATTTTTTATTTAAATAATTAACTTATGAGGAAAGTTTATGTAGAGGGAAAAAATGTAAATACCCGGCCCGAGCAGCTTATTTCATTTTTTAAATGGAGCGTGACTTTTCGGAACGGAGAAAGTATTAAGTTATAGTGAATATACGAACTCACTATCACTAAATTTATTTCAAGATGTAATTTTAATTTGAAAAATAATATGGAGTAAGGACTAAACAATGATATTATAATACATTTTTTTCTATTATAGAATGTAAAATATGGTACACTTTTTTTTGTAGTTCACAATCTTTCTCTAACTTTTTAAAAAATTATAATAATAAATATTTTCACGGTTAAAGAGTATCCCACATTAGAAAAGTGTGAGAAAAATAATTGGCATATAAGCTCTTGAGTTAAATTAATTAATCGATTGTATTCAATTTTTTAATGTGATTCAGGACAAGTGTCTTACAGTCCAATCCAGTTATCTCTACTCAATCCTAAATTCTATCAAACACTTTTTTTTAACTTGATGATATCAAACCATTAATTTTATTTCTAGACCAGCTAGGTAAAGTATTTGTGTTTCAACTTTAAATTAGCTTTATTTACAAGTACAAACTCGAGTATCCAAGACCAGTTGGTGAATACTATGTATAGTATTTCTTTCATCCCCTTATCAAATTTACATTTTTGTTACATCAAGAAATTCATATTTTTCTACTAATTTTATGAATGAAATCTATGGTTCTTATGATATTCTGTCACCTTTACACACTATGTTTTAACACTTTTTCTTGAATTTCGTAATCTGAACGATGAATTCGATTAGGGAATGAAAGGAGTAGAATGCATATACATCCTTCAATATCCACTATGCATATACATTTTCACTTTCAAGAATGAGACAAATAATTGATTTCTTCATCTTGCTAATCTTGCTTTTGACTTGGCGGCCATGGAAGCTTTTTTGATGATGATGATGATAGAGTCTTAATTAATCAATTAAGAACCCTAGTTTGATCTTCAATGGGCTCAAGATTCATGGATACTGTGAAGTATATGAGCAACATTGTTCCTATGCTAGACCTGCACATATGCATATATTCATGGGATTTTATCATAGTCATTGATCGAGAAACCTACTGCTCTTAATATGTTTGTCTAATTTGATTTCTTAGAGTTAAACTAGACGTTCTTTAATTATATCAACTAAATAAATACTCTCTATTAATTGTATATTGTACTCCATATATCAATGTAATACAACAACTTTTGAAAATAATTACTCGTACAAGACAAAATACACCCTCCGTCCATAAATCTCTTTCTTAGCTTCACTTTTTAAATCAAATTCTTTAAAAAATACATTGATTTATCAAATAGATTCAATATTAACAGAATAATTTTGAAATACAGTTTGGAAATATTATATTTTGAATAATATATTAATATATAAATATAGATATTAATTATCAAAATATTACATTAGGGATCGTGAGAAATTAAATAGGAAAGAAATTTATAGACAGAAAGAGTATAATGCAATCATATTTATACTAATATACCAAGTGTAAGATAGTAGTACCTACCTCTCTCGTAGAATGTTTATCCAGTTTTGAAAATTTTCAATTAAAATTGATATCCATACAAGAATAACTTGATTATATTTATCATGTACTCCCTCCGTTCTCAAAAACACTTCCTCTTTCATTTTTTCCACTTCCAACAAAACACTTCTCCTTTCTATTAAAAAACCACTTTTACCCTTACTTTTTCATACCCTACCTATCACATCATACTTTTTCTCTAATAATCTATCCATCACATCTTACTTTTTACCCATCACATCAGGGGCAAAATCGGAAATCAACTATAATTTAACACTTCTTTATTTTTGCCCCCAAATCAAATGGAAAAGGTTTTTCCAAACAGAGGGAGTACCACATCTTCAAAAAATTATTTCATCAATTTAATATACCATGTAATTTATATCTAATTATAGATCAAAAGTTACTCTTAGTTGACTGTAAAATGTTAAATCTGGAGAAATAACATAGGAAATTTTTTTACTAATCGGAAAAATTCATCTTATTTAATTGGAAAGAATCAAACCAGATGAATAAAGAACATGAAACAATATTTTGCAAGGTCCAGGTCAGTTTGATTTTTTTGAGTCAAATTTGACGAACTTTAATAATCATCAATTACTCTCAATTCGTATTACATATTAATACACTAAAATCAATTTTTGAAAGTTTTCAACATGATAAATACCGTAATAAAATAAAATTATTTTTATAATAATAGATACTACCCGAGTACGATTATTATTTAATTGAGCTCTTAAACAAGATGTATGCATTCATGGCCACTTGTGTAGACTTACAGGGTGGCAAACGCGAGAAGAATCCTTCTGGGATCGATGACAGCGGCCGTCCAAGGACGAGGAGATGAAGGCAGCCGCCTGAAGCTTAACCGTCGGACACCGGTAAGTAAGCTTTGTGCCGCCGGGGAGGCGCCGCCGCCTGCCGTGATTGTTATCTGATTATGGAGGACTTGGGGAGCGCAGTTATCGGTGGCCCCCACCGTCACTTCCCTTAGCTTTTCTTGCGTGGTTGGATACTCATCATGTGAAGCACCTGCATGCAGTTTTAGTACATGATGAGGATGGAATATAAATTCCGTTCGTGATGTGTTTTATTAGGATTGGAGTAATTAGGAAAGTTAGAAAAGGTTGAAGAATAGAGTTTATTGCACCAACGCCCTTTAGTTTGGTAAATATGTACTGTTATCACTCATAGTTTCAAAATATATGTCGTTGGTCCGAATGGTTGACGCTAATGCCCCTCTGGACAAAAATATCCTTCACATATTAGGTAATTAACTCCAATGACCCATATGGTTTTGAAAATGGGCGCCAACGTCCCCTATGGTATTTCTTTTTTCACATAATATTTGAAAAATATTTTAGAGTAGAGGAACATTGACGTAGCAAAATCATAACCATAAGGGACAACAACGTAAGTTTTGAAACCATATGGGGTAATGATGCACAGTTACCAAACCACAGGGGTCGTGGTGTAATAAACTCTTCGAGAATACTCCTTCCGTTCCTAAATATTTGTCACACTTGTATTTCCGAGGCAAAATATCAAGTTTTTTCAATTCATTTTATTTACAAATTGGTATAGAAATAAAAAATATAATTTACATATCAAAAAACAACATAAAAAATTCTTTGAAATAAGAGGTGTCAAGAATATTTTATTTTATCAAATAATCAATGAAAACATAGAAATAAACAAAAGTTCTCGCGACTGCTGAAAAAGAAAGTGTGGCAAACATTTTGGGACGGAGGGAGTATATTGGTAAGGAAGTTTATAAAATTTTAAATGAGGAAGGGATTATTGAATTGGATCATATATAAGAAACTTGATTTTAACCATATTAAAAGATTAAATTCAATCAACTATTTGGTTAAGTTCAAGAGTTTATATACTTATTATTTTTTTTCACTTTTCCGATGTAAAAGACTCTTTAACACTTTCTTTCAAATGAACAATCAGTCAATTTTGAATGTAACTGGTTGATCAGTTGCAAATGAACTCCCTCATCCCTTATTTTTTTTGAGCGCTCACACCCAAAAGACCACGAATCGTTGGGTATAGACTTCTAGACAAGTAATCGGGTTAAACGGGTCATAGCCGTTGGTAATTCATTCCACACATACAACTGGGTTAAAGACTATCGTCGCTATGAATCTACGTTTAGACGGGCACTTTGACAAACGAGGTAGACCAAACCTGCTCGGATACCATGATGGGTAATTTCACAAATGGTACCTGAACTTTAGCTGGAATTTCGAAGTGGTACCTGAACTTCAAATCCTTTCACAAAAATCCCTGAACTTACACAATCCTTACACTAATGAGCCATTAACGCTCCGACCCGCCGCAAATGACCGGAAGTTAACCTAGAAACGGGCTAATGGCTCATTAGTGAAAGGATTGTGTAAGTTCAGGGATTTTTGTGAAAGGATTTGAAGTTCAGGTACTACTTCGAAATTCCAGCTAAAGTTCAGGTACCATTTGTGAAATTTACCCATACCATGATAGAATTTAGGATGCAGAAAGATTTGTTGAATTGGGCCATAAGATTGAATCCAATGGATTATTTAATTCAACTCAAGAGCTTATATATCCATTATTTTCTTCTTACTTTTCTGATGTGAAATACTCTTTAACAGAGTTGCTATGTCTACTAGAGTATCATCTTGCCTAAACAACTATTTTTATGTTAATTGACAACTTTGCCATTAAAAATTTGTTTGCATCTAAATTATTTTTTTTGTACTTCTTCCGTCCTAAAAAGATGTTCCTATTTTGAGTTTTGAGAAATTTAAGGAAGGAAATTTTGTGTTGGCTTTCCAAAAATACTCTTGATGTGATAGATAAGAGTATGATGTGATGTGTTGATTATTATTTAAAAAGTATGATATGATAGGTAGGTTAAGAATTAGTAGGGGTAAAAATGATTTTTTAATAAAATAAGAAGAATTTTATGAGAGAAATATAAAAAAGACAAAGGAAAGAATTTTTGGGATAGGGTGAGTATATAATATAATTGGTACTATAAATAGAGTGAATTTGGTCAATATATGGCTGATTGAATATAATAAAAGTTAACGGTAAATGGTCATATGGTTACCTCTCGATGAAGTTTCCATGCAATTCTCGTTTGATCCTTTAGGATTGCTTTTCTTCTCACTGATTCTCATTGTTCCTTTTCTTGAAAGGCTTCTCTGCAACTTTTATTTAATACAGATAATCCAAAATAAACTAATAATTATATATCTCACACGATAATATAAATAATTGAAGTGCACAATATCTAAGATAGAGTTTCTGTACTTATAAATTTGGTGGTTGATAATTATTTGCAATTTTTAAAAATAATGGATGCATGGATAATTTTATAAAGCTTGCGAAACTACAAATAATGTAGGACTAAAAACACTTTCTGACCATATGTTTTTATTTCCCAATGTAGTACCATTGATCATTATCTATTAGTCATTATTCAATTAAATGTCCAGCATCATTTGGACATTATTCTTCTCACTAGCTAGTCATTATTAAGTCTTATTTATGGAATAAAAACTTTTAAGTCCTACACTGGGAAATGACTTATGTTTTGGTCTTATTCAGTGCAAATTTCACAATAATGTATGGACTAAGACAACCATATGCATATAATTTCTAAAATAGGTATAAGATGTATATACCCACCAATCTACCATATTAATCTAACTTCATTTATTTTATTGATGTGATACTCTTTTTGCAATGTTACTTATTCAGAAATTGAATTGAGACAAAACTCTTTTATCTAACTATCCGAAAAATGTTTTTTTTAATGGTACTTGAGAAAAACTACTTTGTGAAATGAAACAAAATTCTCTTTTTTCTCTTTTTATTGACCCAAAACGAACAATATTACACTCCTTCCATCTTAAAACTAATTTCCTGTTGTGTTTTACAATCTTTGATTGAAATTATTTTCAAATCAATTTATTAGAATATTGTTGGGAAACTTAAAATTAAAAATTTTCCTCGTATCTTTAAAAATTACTTGTACATTAAAAATACTCCGTATAAGAAACTAGAGGTACTGATATGACTATAATATTTTAGAGATTAGCGTTGAAAAGACTATCTGACGGTAGCCTTTAGCGTTAGCGTTTTGCAATACTTGTTAATCTACACCGCTTAAATTTTATCCAAAACGCCAACGCTAATTGAAAACGCTTTTTCCAAATAAACAAGGCCATAGTTTTTAATTTAAAATCTCAAAAAAAAAGAACATACCTTAGAATGTTTTGAATTTTGGGAGAGGTCTTTCTCCAAGAGATGATGAGGGAAGTGTTCCATGTCCACAACAAAGCTATCGTTGGTTCGATCATCATGAATGGGTATTTTCTGCATGGAAGACCCCATTTTCTTAATTTTCTCCTGGGAAAATAAAAATTTTGTTTAGTTCATAAAAAATATTTAAAAAATACAGTGTATTTATATACCAAATGAAGAAGATGAAGATGAAGATGAAGATGAAGATACGGGAACAGATTAGAAGAAATATTATTAAATGGTTAGTATTACTGTATATGGAAAATGGAAGAGTCAAGCTGAAAATGGAAGTTATGGGTTGTTTGGAATCCCACTCCACCCCCCAACTTCATCCAACTCATTTCACATCATGACCAAACACGTACTTATAGGCACACCTAATTTTTTTTCATTTTTGAAAAAAAAAATCTCAAATTCAAGCAAATCCAAACGGATCTTAAAATATCTCCTACATTTTGTCCTGCATTAATTACTCCTCCATTTTGTTCCTACAATACATACACTTACTATATATGTCCATTTTTTCCCCTTGTTTTTAAAAGACAATATTTTAAAAGTATTTTACTTTATAAATTGAATAAAATAATAATTTTTATTTAATAATATTCAAAGTTGTTCAATTTTAACTGCAAGAAAAATAAAAAATGGACAAATACCCAAAACGGAAATAGTATATCTTTCTTTTTCATTCATATAAAAAGGTAATTAATTCACTTTTCTATCCCAAAAAATTATCATAGTTGACTTTTGTAGCCAAACTATCTAACACTTTGAATATAGATAAAATATAGTTTTAAATAATTAAATGTTATAAAAACTTGATATATCAAAAGCATATTTTAAAATGAATCTAATTTTACTAAATTTATATTATTACTAAATATATTTTTTACATAATTTATAATCAAAGTATTATATAATTTAACAAAAAAATCAAAATATGATAATCTTTTTTGAGACAGAGGAAGTATCAAAATTTATTTTTTACTCTATTAAACGCCGTGAAATAATTAATTTAATTTTCTTTATTTGAGGAAAAGGGTGTACGTCTAATAAGGAAAGTCAACTTAATTTCATGATATAAAAGAAATATATATTGTTAGGATATGTTTTAGGGTTTGATAGTTTTCCTATTCTTGTTATAGTAGGAATAGAATTATGAATTATGGTAGGAATAGAACTTTACTTGAATCATTTGATTACACATAAACTGGCTCTGATACATGGTATCGGAGCCAACCTGGGAACCTAAACCCTAGTTTACTCTAAATCGTTGCTTCCGCGGTCGCCGTCGCCGGTGGTTTGTCCGACGACGGCGGCATCACCTTTTATTCCCACTACCTATTTTTTTCACCCAATCGAAAAAAAATCATCTTCAAGACATAATCAGTGCCTCAGTGGCCTCAGTGGAGCAGCCCAGTTTCGTCGTCCAGGAGCAGTATTCGTTTGGCAAAAAATTGGTGTTGGTGCCTCAAAATTAGGATGTACGTAGTATTTGTGATTTGTCTTCCACTAGACAAAGGTTGATGATTATCCTTGCCTAAAAGTTTGGGCACCTCAAAGTTTGATATGAGTTTGTTACTCCGTGAGTTGCGGTTTGCTAACCTGGAACCCTATGCTCGTCGCCACCGTCCTTTGTTATTCTTCGTTGCCGCTTGTTATGTCCCGCCAAACAAAACCATTTGGAGTTTGCTAAGTTTGATCTGCCAAAGTGGTTATTTGTTTTGTTTTGTTCGCGCTCCGCAGAAGAAGGTTTTTATGTTCACTCTGCCGTTCATTGAAATTTGATGACGTTTTTGGCGACATTGTTTTTTTGGTTGCTATTTGGTATGTTCAAGTGCAACCAGTTGTATGTTCAGCATGTTTGTTTGTGAGGTTGGTCGCATAGTCGCGCCTCAGTTCGACATATCTGTTTGTGAGGTTGGTCGCATAGTCGCGCCTCAGTCCGGCAACACGGCCTCCAAGTTTGGGATGCTTGTTAGTCGTCCCTGTGTCACCGCGTGGGAGTCATTCGTCATCAAAATTTATTGTTCGTTTGCAGGGCGAGTCACCTTCGTTCGTTGTTGTCACAGCAGATCAAGTTCAAGTTATTTATCAATTTTTTCCCGAGGTTTTATTATTCAAGTTGTTCATTCGTGATCCTCATTCTCAACTTGAGGGGGAGTGTTAGGATATGTTTTAGGGTTTGATAGTTTTCCTATTCTTGTTATAGTAGGAATAGAATTATGAATTATGGTAGGAATAGAACTTTACTTATTTGTTTGACTCTCTATCTATATAAAGAGGGTTGAATCTTTGTAATCGCGAAAACAATTCAATACAAAATTATTCTTCATTATTATTTTCTACATATATTCAAAAGTGATTTCATCATCATCTTGACTTCATAACTCGTATAAATCATCTTTCTTTATAGGGGAGGTTGAAACTTTTGCTTCAAGCAGCCTCCACCACTATAGAGCTTTTAGCTAACAAAATTTATCTTCTACTCCAACCTAGCTAGCTAATTACTCCGGATACCAGAGAATTAGAATATAAGAAACATTTTCTTGACCACAATCACAAACTTGAAGTTTGGATTGAGTTGGTTTATTGACATTGTATCGGAGCCTTGTTGACTAAGAGCTCACGAGTTCGAAACGCAGCTCCACCTAGTTTTAAAAAATTAAGGTTTCACGTGCAAGACTTGAAAAAGACTATTCCAAACGCAGTTCGCCTGCACGTGAGGTGACATGTTAGAATATAAGAAACATTTCAAAGACCACAACTACAAGCTTTAATTTTTGGTTGAGTTTTGGACATAGATCACATTGCATGCATATCACATGTGGACATAGATAATTATTTAGCAGAATTATTTACCCCATACTTGGATGTGCATGGGTTATATATACAATTATATAGGATGAGTTTTGGATAGAGATGGAGATGGTGAATAATGAACTGACTTAATTAACGGGAATATATTGGTGATGCATGTGTGGTGTTTGGACAAGAAATGACTCTTTGAATGGGCGAATTATATATTGTTGTTTGTTGGCATTTGGGGATTTTATCATTTATGAGTGGTTTTAATTTGTGTAGAAGTGGGCCTAATTAATTTCCTAAAAGAATGTTTTATAGTTCCTAAGTTGCATGTGCTCATCTAGTATATAGGCTAAAGTCTACAATGTTCAAACTGGGCTTTAATTTTCACAGAGGGACCAAGAGATTACATTATTTCCTCTTCTCCCTAGCATTCAGTGTGTGTGTGTATGGTTTGAAAATGAATCATGTCGAAATGTACCAAAAACCTTTGAAAATTCACTATCTCAAAATCTGAGCGCATGATGCAATCTGAGCCGCACGATGCATCAGATCCAAAGGCTAGATTTTATTCTTATTTCTTTCACCAAGGTGCATTCTCACATGAACCGGCCCCTATATGTGTGTGTGTGTGTGTCTGTGTGTGTCTGTGTGTGTCTGTGTGTGTGTGTATGTATGTATGTATGTATGTATGTATGTATGTATGTATGTATGTATGTATATGTATGTATATAATTTTTAGAAATCACCCTAAATAGGACTAAAACATAGATAGAAGTACCAAAATAGGACTTTCATGTTTTTTTCTCGAAATAGGACTTTGCACTGTGGTAATGTGACTTTGCTTTGTGGTAATGTGGCAGTGTACATGTGCAAATTACTATACGTTTTTGGTAATGTATATGACCATGTATGGTAATGTAAGTCCTATTTCGGGAATAAAAACATGGAAGTCATATTTTGGTATATTTTCAATGTTTTAGTCCTATTTTGGTCTTTCTCCCTATAATTTTCTCCCATGCCTCTCTATTTGAAAGAGCAAGGATACCCTTCCACTATTATTTTGACACGTAAATTATATTATAGTTTCTCCGTTCTTAAAAAGAAATCCTAGTTGAACCAAATGTAAAAATAAGGAAATGTTAAATTGTAGTTGAATTTCAATTTAGTTTTTGATTTTATTGGTATAAAAGTAAGATGTGAGGATAGATTATTAGTGAAAAGTTAATGTGATAGGTAGGGTATGAAAAAATAAAAGTAAATTAAAATTAATTTTTTTAATAAAAAGTTGAAATGTTTTATTGAAAATGAAAAAAAATGAAAAAAGAAATATTTTTTGAGAACGGAGAGAGTAATTAAACTTATAAGTATTAATATCTCAATTGATGGGTATAATCCGTCCCGACCATGACCCGGGTCGGGCCCAGTCAAGACCACCCAGTGGTCTAAGTACTATGCGGCAGGGTTGTTTGGGTGCATTTGTACCCTGTCCGAGTGGGGTTCAACCAAGACCGACCGGGCAACGTCCAGGTACTATGACCTTGCCCGCGTAGTGTCGGCTATTTCGTGCCGGCAGATAATTCCGTCGCGCACATCCACGTCTCTCATCCGCCGCCTCTGACCGTGCACAATCGCCGGTTGAAAAAAGAGGTAATTTGAGGAAGAAAAAAGGAAAGGGGCTGAAACTTTTTTTGCAGTGCGTAAGAAGGAAAAAGAGGGGCTAGTAGGCTGATTGTTCATATTAGGCAGTTTGGTGTTGTCCAATTTTATTTTGGATAGAGCTTTGGATTGGTGTGGTGGGCCTAATTTTCTAATGAATTTAGCATGATCTGAAATTGGTTGTATTGGGTATCTCGTCTAGTCATTTGGGATGGTAGAAGACGACAAGTTCCGAATTGAGAAATTCGATGGAACAAATTCCAGTTGGTGGAAGATGCAAATTGAAGATTTGCTGATTCAGAAAGATTTGGACGTGGTCTTGGTTGACAAGCGAGAAAAGATGTCGGCTGCAGATTGGGCAGGTTTGGATCGAAAAGCAATGTCAGTGATTCGACTCTCATTGACCAAGAATGTTGCGTTCAACATTCTAAAGGAGAAGACAACGAAGGGCATTATGGAAGCGATGTCTAACATGTTAGAGAAGCCATCTGCATGCAGCGAACAAGGTTTTTTATGATTAGAGAGCTGGTGAACACAAAGATGAAAGAAGGCACTTCAGTTACCGAGCATATCAATAAGCCGAATTCGATCTTAACCAGACTTGCGTCATTGAAGATTAAGTTTGATGATGAAGTTCAATCTTTGCTACTACTATTGTCTTTGCCCGATAGTTGGTCTGGAACGGTTACTGCAGTTACCAGTTCAGTGGGACCCGATGGACCCACTTTCGATTAGATTTGTGATCTCGTTCTTGGCGAGTAGGGGTGGGTTCGGTTTTGGCGGTTCGGTTTCACCCAAAACCAAAGACAAAACGAAAGGTAAATTGGCGGTTCGGTTCGATTTAGTTTTGCATAAAAAATATGTAAACCGTTGGTTATTCGG